GAGATTTTACTGTATGTCTGTCTCTTTATTTCCTCTGCTACCTCTAACATCTATATGAAGTTGCCTTTTCCACCCTTCTTGCTCAGGTTTGGTGTCCTCCTTCCTGGCCCACTTAGGAGGAAGTCACTGGGCTGGAAGCAGTTGATGTGTTGACATATGTAGGGAGGAAGCTCCATTGTACTGCATGTTGGGCCATGAATTGGATTGGAAGGGGAAGTAGATGAGGTTGAAGACTGTGGCAGCCTATGAGGAAGTAGAGAGTAAAGAATTAGCAGTCCTGGGCTGGAGCAGCCTTGGGAGTTTCCGAGGCAAATCCAGTGCTGCTGAGTTTCCCTGAGCAAGACTGTGACATCCACGCCACTGGGAGCCCACAGCCGTGGGTAGAACTGCTGATCACTTCTTTTTTGGCTCTTCAGCATCTTTTAGTTTTGTTTTCAGGGTTTAGTTCTTTTTTTCTTTTAACTGGTTTCCTGTTGTAATGTTTGGATCACTTCAACTGTGTTATGTTGTGGCAAATTGAAAAAAGTCAGGTAGAATTTTACCACAAAAAGCAGTGCCTTCTTAAAGTTCTACTCAATGATCTTATAGTTGGAGTGATTAGAGATTGGGTTTTAGTTTGAGATAGTCACACTGTTGCTTTTAGGAGGTCCTGGTATAATTCCTCAGGCACACCTTAACTACCAAAGCATTGATTCTTCTGATTATTTGCTTTGGGGTCTTGGCATGCTTTGATGCTGGTGGCTAGGGGATGCATAAGATGTGGTTAAGCTGTTTTCAATGAAACAGAAACACATTCATTGTATTTTAGACTTATTTATATGTAGATGTGTTTCAGCTACCACCCAAGTGGTTCAGCCCAAAAGGATTAAAAAGGAATTTCATTTTTCTGTGTCTCTTGATAGACACTAATAATATCAATCTATAATTCCTGGCAACATCTCTCTTTTCTGCCTCCTCTTGCAACCTACACTTTGTAGAGATTCTTCTTTGCCCAGACTTGCTCTACCCACACTCCCTTTTGTTCTTTCCATTACCTAGGATGACTGAACATGCAGAGGTGGGACTTTCCCTCTCTTTGTACTTCATCAAGCACAGGGACCCTCTCAGATGGGTGTGCACTTCTCCTGGGTCAGGGTTTAGGTAGCTGGGCTAGTGACAGCAGAATTCTCCTTAGCAGAAAAGGGGACTGTCTGAACCTTCTGATGTCCAAAATGTTACTCTCTCTCTCAGCTGTATTTGGAAAAATGAGATTCCACTCAGGAGATCACCTGAATTGTTATCAAGATACTGTTTTGCAAGATGTCTGTAGGATGTTTCTTTCTCTTTTATGAATTTTTAAAAACTTTAAAATTTTCTTTTAAAGAGTCTTAATTCTCTTTGCTGTAGCAAACTTGACTTGAAGATTTACTCAGCTCCATAATTCATAGTACAGCAAAGTCTAAAGCAGGTAGCTTCTCACATTGCATCTGTCCTGTCTTTGGAGTCTAGTTCCACCACTTACTGGCTGAGTCTTCTAGGCAATTATTCAGTCTTTTTTTCCCTAACACTTTTCTTTCCTGTAAAATAAAGGTGATTCAGGTAATAAGTAAAAATAATAATTAGTGCTTATTAGGTACTTAATAATGTGAGAGATGTTGAGCTAAGCACTTTGCCTGATGTCTCCTTTGAGCCCTAATGCGGTTCTGAAAGGCAGGTACTCTGTGCCCCCTGCATTGTGATGCAGTGATGGTTACAAGAGTCAACCTGTGGCGGCTAGGGAGGAATTGGGGTACTTTGGATTAGGTAGAAGGGAGTAAAGGGAGGGAAGGGGGTATGGGGGTAGGAATGATAGTAGAATGAATCAGACATACTCTGTGTGCATATATGATTGCACAATGAGTGTAATTCTACATTTTGTACAACCAGAAGAATGAGAAGTTATACTCCATTTATGTATGATGTGTCAAAATGCATTCTACTGTCATATATAACTAATTAGAACAAATTAAGAAAAAGAGAGTTACCCTGCATTGAACACTCCCTATATACCATGCTCTGTTATGTACTATCTTCATTCCTGGGTTTAGAGATTAAAATGGAGGGAGAGGAAGTTGTTTGTCTCATGCTTCTGTGAGCAGGACCAACTTGGTAACCATTGTATCAGACTCCAAGTCCTCCTTACTGTAAGATGCACAGCATGGTTCATAGGAATATTGGATAATCTCTGTAAAATGCTTAGCACAGGGCGGACACATAGCAGTTTAAATTGTAACCATTTTAATTATTAGTGAAGTTACACTTTTTCTTGCTAAAACATGGCTCTTCCTCTCCTTAGAAGCTCCATTCCTGGTAACATTAGCACACAGCTTGTTCAGATCCTATACGTGATTATAATGGCCATGGCCCACTCACCCATGACTACAAAGTCCCCTTCCTGCGACCTCCAGATAGTTCCCTGATACCCATACCAGTATTCCCATGGCTACCTTCTCTGGCCTTTCTTGACTTGAGTTATTTGACCAAAAAAATATGAGAATATACATTTTTGTTTATATGTGCATATACAAAATATACACACATATTTTGTGTATACCCAAAGTACAGGCTTATATTCTAGGGTTGTTTTCTGGTAAGTTGATCATCTCACATATTTCTTTCCTGGGTATGTAGGTAGGGTTTATTTTGAGGATAAGGGTGAAGGGTTGGGAAATGGGTGTGTGTGTGTGTGTGTGTGTGTGTGTGTGTGTGAGAGAGAGAGAGAGAGAGAGATTGAAAGCATTTGGGTGCAAGCAGGGAGAGCCATCATCTATGGTAGGTCCCCATGGAGGCCTGGGTAGCTGCAGGAGAGACCTATGTTTAGGGGATGTGCCCTGAGGAGTTAGGTGGTACTTGAATGAATGCAGCAGGTCACATGGTCTGTGACAAATGAGAGTACATGCCCATATCCGAGACAGCAGCCAATCCCTTCATGGCTGCAAGCCCTCCATGTCCACACACTCAGGAGCGCTACTCTGTGGCTAATGGCAGTTGCTCTAAAAAGGCCCTTTAGGGAAGAAGAAAGGTGACTGGTGAGAACACACAGGAGAATCCCAATCTCATGAGTTTACAGAAACACAGCCTGAATAAGAAATTCTAACGAGGCCTAGGGGGAGTGGTGCTTTCATACATGTGGTGGGAGTGCTGGTAATTGGCAGAGTTGTTTTTGAAGGCAGCTTCTGTGAAAGCCAACAATGTGCACACCCTTTGACCTGGCATTTCCTCTTCTTGAAATTATATTAAAAAATAAAAAAAAGCAAACACGACTCCTCAAGGACTGTTGAAAAGAATGTTTGCCACAGCATTGTTTGTAAAAGTGAGAAGTGGGAAACAATCCAGACATTTGTCAGTAAGGCCGCAACTTCCATACAGGACAATCTCTGCTAGAGTACTGTGCATTCACTGGGAAAGTGACATTGACAGGAAAAGTGCCTGGCTTTATAGTGAGAAAATAAGTTATGTGAATGTTCCACTTAAGAGATATTTACAGCTGCAGTTGAAGAATTATGATTACATAGACACAATTCTAGTTCTCCATAGATTTAAGGATTTACTAAAAGTGTTTGTATGTGTTAGAATTTTCAAAGTTTAGAAGACTGTCTCAGTTAATAAAAATCTAAATTATAGATGTAAAGGCAGTACAGCTTTATGTTTTTAAACAAAATGTTTGACTAAATTTCTAGCTGGTAGTAAATATAACAATGATTTGAAAAGCTAATTAACTCTTCTAAATAGGTACTTATTTGAAAAAGTCATTTTAAGTAACTAGAAATATATAGTTTTTCATTTGCTGGTAAATTATTTATTGAGAGTACAAATGTATATCAAATGTCCAGATGATCAAAAATGCCAGAATTGTAGATTCCATATTGACAAGTGTTTCACTATAGTTGATCACTGGAATTTTACTAAATTGTGTACTGTGGAGGAAATTATTTTGCAACAAACCCCAGGAGGTTTGGCCCTTATTCAGATGACTTCTTTCTCATCCGCACTCAGAATTTTACATGCTCACACAAATATAACTAGGAATCTTCAATATTGAACACAGCAAAATGTTGCATGTGTACCATTTGAGTCTCTAGGCCTGTTTTGCCCCTTGTCAAATCAGAAATTGTAGTGTTATGTCACAAGCAGCATATTTGGAGCCATTTCATGGCTCTTATTGTACAAGGTTCACTTTCTGGAAATGATGTCTGTATTCCTGCTATTTTGTGTTACTAAGGTGATGCCATATATTATAACCCATAATGATTAAAAAATATAGCATTAGGCAGACATGGATCCCAAAAGGCCAACTGGATTGATTGACTGCAGTGCACCTGGTGCTGAACTGAATTCCTAAAATTGTTTATGAATTCAGCTACTCAACAAGAGCCAAGTCTTTGTCAAGCATTGTGCTGGTGCTTAAATATTTCATTTCACTGTTCCCCAGCAGGGCCAGTATTTTCACCCTCATTTATAATCAAGTGAATTAGGATAGGATGGGTTAGGTTGCTGTAGTCATATGGCTAAGTAAAATTGTAACATGGCTAAGCAAGTTTTGAGTTAGAAATTGTAAAATCCATGCTCTTAATGCTCAATTTCCTTCTTTAATTTTGTGCAACGAATATGTTCTTTTTTTTTTTAAAGAGAGAGAGAGAGAGAGAATTTTTTAATATTTATTTTTAGTTTTCGGTGGACACAACATCTTTATTTTATTTTTATGTGGTACCGAGGATCAAACCCAGCACCCGGCACATGCCAGGCGAGCGCGCAACCACTTGAGCCACATCCACAGCCCAACAAGTATGTTCTTATATATGACACTGATTATGAGAGAACTAGATGTTTCTTTAATTTTTGGATTGAATTTTTAAATAAAAATAGTTATTTAAATTGAGGATAGACACTTTGCAGCAAAATTACTGTGTGTGTGTAAATGTGTGTGTTTTCCTTAAAGCTGATGTTTAATTGTGATGTACTTTTTTTTTTTTTAATTGTAGAAAGTGACCAAGTTCACTCCTGGACACTAGTTACAAGCCAGGTCCTAGATACTGCCTGGAGAATAGCAAAGGGCTCTGTGATGTTGGCAGTTTCACTGTTGGTGGCCACCCTCTGCTATTTCAGAAGGCTGCATTTATATTTAGAGCACTGGCTGAAATGGTAGGTCATTGTGTCATATTTAAATTTCAAAAATATTTCACTATCTGAAGCATAATTTTGACATTATTATTTCCTTTTATTTTTCAGGTGGATTGGATATCTCCAGAGAAAATTCAAAAGTAAATATTTTATGCAGATTTTTATTTTTTAAGGTGCAGAGAAGGCTCATAAAGGGAGGGGAATGGGAAAATTAACTGCCTTTTATTTTGATTTGGTCCAGGGAACCTCAGTGTGGAGGCGGAAGTTGATTTACTCAGTTATTGTGCAAGAGAATGGAAAGGAGAAACACCCCGTGCCAAACTGATGAGGAAGGTGTGTCTGTTTACAGAGGTTATGGAAGACATAGACTGTCAAAATCAGGAAATATTCCATTCTGCTTTACTGAATCCAGAGATCAACCAATACCAGTGGGATGCAAGTAACAATTGTGGCTCTAATTCAGAAGCCACACAGATACTAGATGTTGGCATTAGGTCTTTAACCTAAAAATCTGTGCCTTTAAGGAGTTAGGTAAACCAGGTTGTAATGTCAGAAAACCCTTGAGCATTGTTCCATTCTCAGGTCTCTCCTTTCCCACCTACTAAACATTTTCATGTGCAACAGAGGGTCTTCTTGAAGGAATCAAGTATCCTGACATCAATATTTTGAGGAGTTTTAGAATTTTCCATTGAATTAATCTTGGCAAATATTCCCAACAATGCTGTCCAATCTTGTCACCAGCAAAAGCAAAAGGAGGGGTACATTTAAAGTACATTTAGCATGATCTTAAAAGCATGCAGTAGTTTTGTGATTAGATTTGCCCAAAATGACCTGCCGTAGACTTCCAGGATTTGTCATCTAGAACAGACCCTAACACATGAGTGTCATTTTAAAATCAAATTACATGCAGTCGTAATCAGAATTTTATCATTGTTTCTGCTGTCCACTTTAACTGGGAGGAATATCTCACTGAAAATAATACTTTCTCAGTATGTCCACTGAATTCACTGTTTTTCTCTTTTTTCTTTTTGGTACTTGATATTGAACCAGAGGGCACTTTACCATTGAGCTACATCTTCAGTCCTTTTTTATTGTTTATTTTTATTTTTTTGGTACCAGGGATTGAACTCAAGGGCACTCAACCACTGAGTCATATCCACAGCCCTATTTTATATTTTATTTAGAGACAGAGTCTCACTGAGTTGCTTAGTTCCTTGCTGTTGCTGAGGCTGGCTTTGAACTCAAAATCCTCCTGTCTTAGTCTCCTGAGCTACTGGGATTATAGGTGTTGCCACTATGCCTGGCTTTATTTTTTATTTTGAGACAGGGTCTTTCTAAGTTTTGGTGGCTGGCTTCAAACTTGTGATCATCCCATCTCAGCCTCCTGAGTCTCAGAGATTATAGGTGTGGCCCACTGTAGCCAGCTAAATTCACTTTCTTCATTCTGTTATCCAGTGTAATTAATGAAACATTTTTCTTTCTGTGCTAATAGGCTTATGAGGAGCTCTTTTGGAGACACCATATTAAATGTGTTCGACAAGTAAAGAGAGATAACTATGATGCTCTAAGATCAGTGTTATTTCAGATATTTAGCCAAGGCCTCTCTTTTCCATCCTGGATGAAAGAAAAAGATATTGTTAAGGTATGTCTTTAACTGGGGACCTGGGAATGTTATGTGGACAGTAACCACAACTCAGAAGCTCCTAGTCTTCTCAGCGTGGCTTTGTACTCAGAGCATCATGATATTGAAGGAAATTTGAAAGGCCATTTAATCTAATCCTCTAAGTCAGTTTGAAAATTAACTGTCTCAGAAAGCTAGTCATACTCAATTTTGTTCATCTGTTTTTTTTTTTTTTTTTTTTTTTTGGTAGATGGTCACAATACCTTCATTTTATTTATTTATTTATTTTTATGTGGTGCTGAAGATTGAACCCAGTGCCTCACATGTGCTAGGCAAGTGCTCTACCACTGAGATACAACCCCAACTCCTGTTCATTTGTTTTCAATACCCTCTTCTTTTCTTGAGAGAATTTGTCCCTCATAAGTAAGGTGATCTAGTAAAATTCACTTTTTTACTCTGCAGTTAAATGAGTTTTAACAAATGCATGTAGTGTGTGGTCACCACCCCACAGATTCTCTTGTATACCTTTGAAGTCACTTTTCTTTCCCACTCTAGCACCTGGCAACCTTAATCTGTTTTCTGTCCTTATAATTTTGTCTTTTCCAGCATGTCATGTGATTGGAGCCATTAGTATGCGTGTTTTGAATCTGACTTCTTTCCCTTAGCAAAATGCATCTGTAGTTCATCCATGTTGTTCTGTAAATTTGTGGTTCCTCTCTTGGTGCTCCTTCTTAGTGAATGTTACACAGTTTATCCATTCACCTATTGGAAGACATCTGGGTTGTTTCCAGTGCTTGACAACTATGATTAAAGCTATTTTAAATCTTCTTATATAGATCTTTATGAATATTAGTTTATATTTCCTTGGGCAAGCATCTAGGAATTAGATTGCAAGGTGGTTTGGTAAGTATATGTTTAAGTTTATAAGAAATTGCGAAACTATTTTCCAAAGCGACTTGGTTATTTTTCACTCCCACCAGCTCTGCATGAGTTCCAGTTGCTCCACATTTTCACCAGCATTTGGTATTGTGAGATTTTTGTTTGTTTGGTTGGTTTAGTCATTCTAATAGGTATGTACTGGTATCATTGTACTTTTAGTTTGCATTTCCTAGTGAGTAGTAGTGATAGTGGGCATCTTTTAATGTCCCTAATTGCTGTTCATATTATCATCTCCGAAAATCATCTTGTCTATTTAAATCTTTGGGTCATTTTTATTTGGGTTGTTTATTTTCTTATTGTTGAGTTTTGAGAATTCTTTATATTTTATGAGAAGACACACTATTTGAGGTGTGTGATTTGCAGATATTTTCTCCTATTCTGTGGCTTGTTTTATTGTTTTCTTAATGGATTATGGCAGTACATTCTTTTTTTTTTTGACATTCCACAGAGTGTTTATTTATCTGTTGGTATTTGAATTGTTTACAGTTTTTTTTAAAGTTTCTTTTATTTTATTGGTTGTTCAAAACATTACAAAGCTCATGACATATTATCTTCCATACATTTGATTCAAGTGGGTTATGAACACCCATTTTTTACCCCAAATACAAGTTGCAGAATCACATCGGTTACACATCCACATTTTTACATAATACCATATTAATGACTGTTGTATTCTGCTACCTTTCCTATCCCCTACTATCCCCCCTCCCCTTCCCTCTCATCTTCCCTCTCTACCCCATCTGCTGTTGTTTAATTCTCTCCCTTGTTTTTTTTCCCCTTTCCCCTCACAAACTCTTATATGTAATTTTGTGTAACAATGAGGGTCTCCTTCCATTTCCATAGTTTCCCTTCTCTCTCCCTTTCTCTCCCCCCACTCGTCTCTGTTTAATGTTAATCTTTTCCTCATGCTCTTCTTCCCTGTTCTGATCTTAGTTGCTCTCTTTATATCAAAGAAGACATTTGGCATTTGTTTTTTAAGGATTGGCTAGCTTCACTTAGCATAATCTGCTCTAATGCCATCCATTTCCCTGCAAAATCCATGATTTTGTCATTTTTAGTGCTGCGTAATACTCCATTGTGTATAAATGCCACAGTTTTTTAATCCATTCATCTATTGAAGGGCATCTAGGTTGATTCCAAAGTCTAGCTATTGTGAATTGTGCTGCTATGATCATTGATGTGGCAGTATCCCTATAGTATGCTCTTTTAAGGTCCTCAGGGAATAGACCGAGAAGGGCGATAGCTGAGTCAAATGGTGGTTCCATTCCCAGCTTTCCTAGGAATCTCCATACTGCTTTCCATATTGGCCGCACCAGTTTGCAGTTCCACCAGCAATGTATAAGTGTACCCTTTTCCCCACATCCTCGCCAGCACTTATTGTTGCTTGACTTCATAATGGCTGCCAATCTTACTGGAGTGAGATGGTATCTTAGGGTGGTTTTGATTTGCATTTCTCTGACTGCTAGAGATGGTGAGCATTTTTTCATGTACTTATTGATTGATTGTATGTCCTCCTCTGAGAAGTGTCTGTTCAGGTCCTTGGCCCATTTGTTGATAGGGTTGTTTGTTATCTTATTGTTTAATTTTTTGAGTTCTTTGTATATTCTGGATATTAGGGCTCTATCTGAAGTGTGAGGAGTAAAAATTTGTTCCCAGGATGTAGGTTCCCTGTTTACCTCTCTTATTGTTTCTCTTGCTGAGAAAAAAACTTTTTAGTTTAAGTAAGTCCCATTTGTTTATTCTTGTTATTAACTCTTGGGCTATGGGCGTCCTATTAAGGAATTTGGAGCCCGACCCCACAATGTGTAGATCGGAGCCAACTTTTTCTTGTATCAGGTGCAGAGTCTCTGATTTGATATCTAGCTCCTTGATCCATTTTGAATTAACTTTTGTGCATGGCGAGAGAAAGGGGTTCAGCTTCATTTTGTTGCATATGGATTTCCAGTTTTCCCAGCACCATTTGTTGAAGATGCTATCCTTTCTCCATTGCATGCTTTTAGCGCCTTTATCAAATATAAGATAGTTGTAATTTTGTGGATTGGTCTCTGTGTCCTCTATTCTGTACCATTGGTCCACCTGCCTGTTTTGGTACCAGTACCATGCTGTTTTTGTTACTATTGCTCTGTAGTACAGTTTGCAATCTGGTATGGCTATACCTCCCGATTCACACTTCCTGCTTAGAATTGCTTTTGCTATTCTGGGTCTTTTGTTTTTCCATATGAATTTCATGATAGCTTTATCTATTTCTACCAGAAATGTATGGCAGTACATTCTTAATGAACAACATGAATTTTTATTTTGAATGTGGTATGCCTAATCTAGGATGGAGAAGCAAAGAAACATGAAGCATGTGATGTAGAGATCTAGCTGTCTAGGTATCTATATAGGCACCTATCTAGATACCTAGGTATCTCTCTCCTTCTCTTTCTCTTTCTCCCTCTCTTACACACACACAAACACACACACACACACACACACACACACACACGTGCATTCTTTATTTAACATCTTTTATATGAACTTCTTTTTTAATTTCTGTTTTATCTAGCAAATATTTGTCGGGTATGTATTGTACTGGCCTTGCTGCTAGTTGCTGAGGACAAGGAATATGACAGGGACCCTGGGTTCAACAAGCGGAATCAGGATGGCTATGATGGGCTAGATTCTTACATACATTGTAGTCTTATTTAATCCTATCAAGAGCCTTGTAAAATGGACATGTTATCTTTAATTTATAGTGGAGGATGAGGCTAAGAGGTGAAATAATCCTAGTTAAGTCATCTCTTAACTGCTAAATGATAGCCAGGTTTGCAGAATGCGTCCTTATATAATTCATCTGTTTCCTGATGTATGACTCTAACTTCATTTGGTTAAAAATAGTTTCTTTCATTCTTCTTCTTCTTCCTTCTTCCTTCTTCCTTCTTCCTCCTTCCTTCCTTCTTCCTTCTTCCTTCTTTCTTCTTCCTTCTTTCTTCTTCTTTTTTTTTTTTTTCAGTACTGGGGACCTTAACCCAGGGATTCTCTGCCACTAAGCTACATCCCCAGCTCTTTTTATTTTTTATTTGGACACAGGGTCTTGAACTTGTGATCCTTCTGCCTCAGCCCTCTGAGTCACTGGGATGAGAGTCACTGCACCCAGCTAAAAATAGTTTCTAAAGTAGTTTCCAACATCTAGGAAGTATGGTATTTTATCTAAAAAATTTGTTTCTATGGACATAATCCTATATTTAGGTTTTTATCCATTGTGAAGTGATGAAGTAAAAATATAATCTAAAAAAATCATTTAACCTACAAAATTTTTTAAAAGATGACTGTATGCTTTTTACTTTACTATTGTTTCAGTCTTTTAAACTGAAGATGCTAAATGAGATAAAATCATGTGCTGTGACATGTTCAAATTATGTATAATAAATGTTGGGGTACTAATAATTGTTGGTATCTTCTTCCTTTTCAAGCTTCCTGAAAAACTGCTGTTTTCACAAGGTTGTAATTGGATCCAGCAGTATAGTTTTGGTCCTGAGAAGTATACAGGTTCAAATGTGTTTGGAAAATTACGTAAATGTGTGGAATTATTGAAAATGCAGGTGAGCATTTAGGGAGAAAAAGACTAGGAATAAAAACATATGTCCCTGGCTGGGGTTGTGGCTCATAGGTACAGTACTCGCCTAGCATGCGTGAGGCACTGAGTTCAATCCTCAGCACCACATAAAGTAAAACAAAGACATTGTTCCCACCTATAATTAAAAAATAAATATTAATAAAATATGTCCCAAATGTAGCCATATTTTTTTAATGTAGCCATATTTTTCTAACATACCCTAACTTTATGTTAGGGAAGTAATACATGCAAATAGAAGTGTTCCTTTTAGTAACTGATTAATTTCCTTTCCAGCTCTTCTTTCTCCTTTCAATTAATAAACAAGAGAAATGTTCTGCATAATAATCAGGCCCTTTATAGTTCTGTGGTCTGGAAACCTGACCAACCATGTACCTCTGTTTACCTAGAATAATGTGGTACAAGTTCCAGACAAGGTTCTCTGAGTGCCCCTCTGAAATGCACCCTAATAAAACTTGGGGGTGGTACAGATGCAGTAATTATAACTAAGAGTTCTTTCTGCCTTTTAATAATGACACAAGTTTTGGATGATTAGAATGAATCCTTAGCCTACCACTTACTAGCAAGGTTATTTTAGGAAATACCTTAGACTTTCTGAGCCAGTTTTCTTATCTGTATGAAAGAGAAATATGAATAGTATATGCCCTATAGGTTATTGTGAGGATTTAATTGATACTAGAAGAGTGCTTTGAGCTGTGCCTGGTGCATAGTAAGTGTGAAGGAATGCTAGCTCTGTTCTTGGCTGAAATATTTTTTGGATAATCCAGCAATCTTGAGCAGTTTTAGAGAACTGACTTGTTTAGTAAGTGGTGTTTTTTGAAAAATATGTAAACTAGTTTATTATTATAAGATTTGTGTGTGTGTGTGTGTGTGTGTGTGTGTGAGAGAGAGAGGGAGGGAGAGAGAGAGAGAGAGTGAGCGTGCTCAAGCTGCTATAACAAAATACCATAAACTGGGTGGGTTAAATAACAAGTATTTATTTCTTGCAGTTCTGGAGGTAGAAGTCAGATCAGGGTGCTAGCAGGGGGCACAGCCCTCTTCCTTTTTTATAAATATCTTCTTGCATGTCCTCACATGGCAGGAGAACTACCTAGCTTTCTGGCCTCTTATCAGGGCACAAACCCCATTCGTGAGGGCTCCCGCCATGTGAACTAATTGCCATCCCAAGGTCTCACCTCTTAATATTATCACAAGGTTAGGCTTCAGTGTATGGATTTGGGAGAGTAGACACATTCAGTCCATTGTAGCATGCTTACAGTTAAAATAAATCAGCACCAAAAAAATATAAAGTGACAAGTTAAAGTTCTACTTTCATTTCTTAATCTTTGGCTTATTTTATCAATACTTAGAAAATTATGTAATGGTGCATGCATTCACTTTTGCCTTTCTAAATTTTGCTTTGCATCTACATTTTTAGTGGACCGAATTTAGTGGAATTAAAGATTATCACAAGAGAGGAAGTATGTGTAACATCCTTTTTTCTGATGTCATTCTGGAACATAAACTTTATGAAGCTTTAAAGTTCATCATGCTATATCAAGTCACTGAAGTTTATGAACAAATGAAGACTAACAAGATCATTCCCAGTCTTTTTAGACTCCTGTTTTCCAGGGAGACATCATCAGATCCTTTGAGCTTTATGATGAATCACCTGAATTCTGTAGGTGACACGTGTGGATTAGAACAGGTAAATGGGGAAGTAGAACCACATGTGTTTGGTTAAGGGTGATAGGGCAGTACTCAAAACACGTAGGCCTGTGGGTCTCACTTTTGATAAACCAGCTACACAGAGGTGGTTTGTGGGTATTATTGTCGCCAAATGAGGAAAAGATGAGTAGTAAGTTTGCTTGTTGCCCCTGTGTCTCCAGACCCTTGGCTGGTGAGTGCCAGTTCTGGTCTTGCTGACTTCTCACACTGGCAACAGGTTCTCCCACACACACGGGAGAAGAGGTCTAGTTGGAAAATGAGATTGCTTCAGGAAAGCATTTGGTTACCTATTGCAGATGAATAGAAATTATTGAAATGTTTAAATCCATAATTTTTTTCCTTGTGGAAAAGGGTTTCTGTTTTCTTTGGATTTGCTTTCCTAGAAGGTGAATCAAGTTATCTGACATTTTTACACAAATTGATTTGGAATGAGATCAAGCTGGTTGGAAAACAGTGTAATTTCTAATTGTGAGCATTCCTTTCTTTTTTCAAGTTTTTTTCTGAACAGCTTTTTCCTATGATTTCTTCATACTAGTCTAGAGGGATGTTCCTACGCTTGTCCCCTTCCTTGTGCACAATGGACATTTTTTCCTAAGTCTGCCCACTCACTGGCTTATGGGTGGGTCTGTAGACAAGTAGGTTATTTTATAAGTTGCAGAAAAACACTCCCCCCACCATGGTGGGAGGCAGGAATTTGAAAATTTGTGTTTGTGACCTCTTTTTTTTAAATCTCATCCCCAGATTGATATGTTTATACTTGGATACTCCCTTGAAGTAAAGATAAAAGTGTTCCGACTGTTCAAGTTTAACTCCAGAGATTTTGCAGTCTGGTATCCAGAGGAGCCTCTCAGGGAGTGGCCAGAGATCTCCCTGCTGACTGAGAATGACCGTCACTATCACATTCCTGTCTTTTAAGTCTGCTGTGGGCGGGGCACTCGGACACACTTATAAGTAAAGTATTTCTCGGAAACCAAAGCTAGTGTTTCAGCTATGGAAGGAATCAGGACCTTTTTCTCTGGAGTTACAGGTACACTGGGTGCAGGATGATTTTCCTGTCTTTTTCAGTGATTTCCCCTGGAACAGCTGCACTGATTTATTTGGTGGGTTGGTGGGTTGACCTTGTTTTTAAGAGGTTCGGCAACTTCACATAATGTCAGGCCTTTAAGCCACAAGGAAATTTAGCATGGACAACAGGAAAAAAACAAGAAGAAAAAGTGTATGGAAAAACTGCTAACCTGGAAAGAATTTCTTCATCTCTGACCTTTGTGTTATTAAGACTCTAATCTTGGGCTGGTTCAAGATCATCATAAACATGGCCATATGTTGTAAGCATCACCTTCATGGGAATCTTTGTTATATATTAATTTTCTAGAACCATTTGATTAATATTAAAATTATGTGTATATGTATATATAAATGTAAACATTTATATATACATATATGCACATTTGGCACACACCCACAAATAATCACTACTTTGTAATATTGTATAATTTGTTTTATGTATTACTTTTTTTTGTTACTGTTATATCTGTCCAGTTTAATTGGTTTTATTTAGATAAAAATGATAAATTCTATAGATTAAGGCAACTGAATGATAATTACTGAACTGTCACAAAAAATATTAAACTGTAGTATATTTAGCTTATATTTACATTTGTATGTAATGACTAGAAACTCATTGTGATAGGCTGAATAATATGCCCAGACACAAAGATATATTCATCATAATTCCAGAACCTGGGATTATGTTGGGTTATGGCAAAAGAGAATTAAGGTTGTAATTGGAACTGAGATACTAACCATTGACTTTGAAAGGGGGCAATTATTCTGGATTCTCCAGGTGGGCCTGGTGTCATTGAAAGGGTCCTTAAGAGTGGAAGAGGGAATCTGAAGAGTGTCAGTCAGAGGAGAATGTGAAGAGGAGTCAGAGAGATGCACATTGCTGATTTGGGAAGAGGAAGGGGATATGAGCCAAGGAATGCAGGGCCTTTGGGAGCTGGGAAAGACCAGGGGACAGACTCTTTCCTAGAGCTTCCAGAAGGAGCACAGCCCTGCCAACACCTTGATTTCAACCCAGCAAGTCCCAGGTCAGATGAAATCCGAAGAACTCTAAGGTAATTTCTTCAATGGTTAAATCACTTGAGTATGATGTAATATGTTACAGGAGCAACAGAAGCCTAGTATTCTCAGATTGACTAATTTTTATTTTATTTTGGAAATACTTTTTTAGTCATTTTGGAAATCTTTATTTTGGAGATGCCTTGCTCATCTTTTGAATTTCAATAAATTAAAAATTATTTTAAAAATCTTGCTAATGACATTTCACTTCAAAACAACATGCTTGGCACTAACATTATCCCATGATTGTATTGTTTTTTGAATAAATAAAAAAGGTATGTTAAATGCTGAAGCATATGAAATTAATATTCACATTCTTTTGCAATGGAGATGATCAATTGTATGTACTATAAAACTAAGATGTCCAACAGTGTCCCCTGTCATTTTGTTTTCTGGTTGAAAATTAATAAACTCAGATCAAGGGGCTTTGTGTTACCTTGTTAGCAACTCAAAACAAGAGTTCTGACTTCCACAGCCCCTTCCGGCTTGGACATGTCCATGGTTTTGCATAACCCCAACCATATAATTGACAGTGTCAGAAATGCCCCCCTTGCTGTATTACTGTGACCAAGAAAGCACAAACTTCACCTATTCTATTCACAAGTAGACATGGTGACAACCTGCTGTAGGTGGCTGTGACTAATATTTATGGAATTGCTGCTCTGAATTTTTGGCTCCAATGGAACTGTTAGGTGCCTATCTGGCTTTTGCATATTACCATTCACTTTGGATCTCCTTAACCAGTGTAATCATTTCCATATCAGTCCAGGAATGAAAGGAAAATCTTTTCCCCTAGGATTGGCAGCCTATAACTGTATGACATCAATCAACCCAGTATGCTTATCCTGATTGTGTGTTGTGGGGGCAGGGTGGCATGGGGCAAGAATTCTTTTTTGTTTGTTTGTTTTTGTTTTATAATGTGTATACATGACTACTTTGGTTTCTTTTTTTTAATTGGTTGTTCAAAACATTACAAAGCTCATGATATATCATCTTTCATACATTTGACTCAATTGGGTTATGAACTCCCATTTTTACCCCAAATACAAATTGCAGAATCACATCGGTTACACACTCACATTTTTACATAATGGCATATTAGTAACTGTTGTATTCTGCTACCTTTCCTATCCCCTACTATCCCCCCTCACCTCCCCTCCCATCTTCCCTCTCTACCTCATCTGCTGTTGTTCAATTCTCTCCCTTGTTTCCCGCCCCCTTTCCCCTCACAACCTCTTATATGTAATTTTGTGTAACATTGAGGGTCTCCTACCATTTCCATATGCTTTCCCTTCTCTCTCCCTTTCTCTCCCCCCACTCGTCTTTGTTTAATGTTAATCTTTTCCTCATGCTCTTCCTCCCTGTTCTGATCTTAGTTGCTCTCTTTATATCAAAGAAGACATTTGGCATTTGTTTTTTAAGGATTGGCTAGCTTCGCTTAGCATAATCTGCTCTAATGCCATCCATTTCCCTGCAAATTCTATGATTTTGTCATTTTTTAGTGCTGCGTAATACTCCATTGTGTATAGATGCCACATTTTTTTTTATCCATTCATCTATTGAAGGGCATCTAGGTTGGTTCCACAGTCTAGCTATTGTGAATTGTGCCACTATGATCATTGATGTGGCAGTATCCCTATAGTACGCTCTTTTAAGATCCTCAGGGAATAGTCCGAGAAGGGCAATAGCTGGGTCAAATGGTGGATCCATTCCCATCTTTCCCAGGAATCTCCATACTGCTTTCCAAATTGGCCTCACCAATTTGCAGTCCCACTGGCAATGTACAAGTATACCCTTTTCCCCACATCCTCACCAGCACTTGTTGTTGTTTGACTTCATAATGGCTGCCAATCTTACTGGAGTGAGATGGTATCTTAGGGTGGTTTTGATTTGCATTTCTCAGACTGCTAGAGATGGTGAGCATTTTTTCATGTACTTGTTGATTGATTGTATGTCCTCCTCTGTGAAGTGTCTGTTCAGGTCCTTGGCCCATTTGTTGATTGGGTTATTTGTTATCTTATTGTTTAATTTTTTGAGTTCTTTGTATATTCTGGATATTAGGGCTCTATCTGAAGTGTGAGGGGTAAAAATTTGTTCCCAGGAGGTAGGCTCTCTATTTACCTCTCTTATTGTTTCTCTTGCTGAGAAAAAACTTTTTAGTTTAAGTAAGTCCCATTTGTTTATTCTTGTTATTAACTCTTGGGCTATGGGCGTCCTATTAAGGAATTTGGAGCCCGACCCCACAGTATGTAGATCGTAGCCAACTTTTTCTTCTATCAGACGCAGTGTCTCTGATTTGATACCTAGCTCCTTGATCCATTTTGAGTTAACTTTTGTGCATGGCAAGAGAAAGGGATTCAGTTTCATTTTGTTGCATATGGATTTTCAATTTTCCCAGCACCATTTGTTGAAGATGCTATCCTTCCTCCATTGCATGCTTTTAGCCCCTTTATCAAATATAAGAAAGTTGTAATTTTGTGGATTGGTTTCTGTGTCCTCTATTCTGTACCATTGGTCCACCTGCCTGTTTTGGTACCAGTACCATGCTGTTTTTGTTACTATTGCTCTGTAGTACAGTTTGAACTCTGGTATCGCTATACCTCCAGATTCACACTTCCTGCTTAGAATTGCTTTTGCTATTCTGGGTCTTTTGTTTTTCCATATGAATTTCATGATTGCTTTATCTATTTCTACAAGAAATGCCGTTGGGATTTTGATTGGCATCGCATTAAACCTGTAGAGAACTTTGGGTAATATCGCCATTTTGATGATGTTAGTTCTTCCTATCCATGAACAGGGTACATTTTTCCATCTTCTAAGATCTTCTTCTATCTCTCTCTTTAGGGTTCTGTAGTTTTCATTGTATAAATATTTCACCTCTTTTGTTAGGTTGATTCCCAAGTATCTTATTTTCTTTGAGGATATTGTGAATGGAGTGGTTTTCCTCATTTCTATTTCAGAAGTTTTGTTGCTGATATACAGGAATGCCTTTGATTTATGCGTGTTGATTTTATATCCTGCCACTTTGCTGAATTCATTTGTTAACTCTAGCAGTTTCTTTGTAGACCCTTTTGGGTCTGTTAAATATATTATCATGTAGCGATAATTTAAGTTCTTCTTTTCCTATTTTTATGCCTTTAATTTCTTTTGTCTGTCTAATTGCTCTGGCTAGTATTTCAAGAACTAAATTGAATAGAGGTGGTGATAGAGGGCATCCCTGTCTTGTTCCAGATTTTAGAGGGAATGCCTTCAGTTTTTCTCCATTTAGGATGATGCTAGCCTGAGGTTTAGCATATATAGCTTTTACAATGTTGAGGTAAGTTCCTGTTATCCCTAGTTTTTCTAGTGTTTTGAACATAAAGTGATGCTGTACTCTATCGAATGCTTTTTCTGCATCTATCGAGATGATCATATGGTTCTTGTCTTTAAGTCTATTGATGTGGTGAATAGCATTTATTGATTTCCGTATATTGAACCAGCCTTGCATCCCAGGGATGAATCCTATTTGATCATGGTGCACAATTTTTTTGATATGCTTTTGTATTCGATTCGCCAGGATTTTATTGAGAATTTTTGCATCCAAGTTCATTAGAGATATTGGTCTGTAGTTTTCTTTCTTTGAAGTGTCTTTGTCTGGTTTCTGGATCAGGGTGATGTTGGCCTCATACAATGAATTTGGAAGAGCTCCTTCTTTTTCTATTTCTTGAAATAGCTTGAAAAGTATTGGTATTAATTCTTCTTTGAAGGTTTTGTAAAACTCCACTATATACCCATCCGGTCCAGGGCTTTTTTTGGTTGGTAGTCTTTTGATGGCTTCTTCTATTTCTTCCTTTGTTATTGGAAGAATTCTTTAAATAGAGGGTCAAGACCAAATTGTGAAAAAGCACTTTTCAACACAGTGAAAATAAGGATGACATTTAAATAGTGGCAATGTTTTAGGAAGGTACTCAAGCAGAAGACTTTCAGGGTGGAGGTATTGAGTGCTTTGTTTTTTGTTGTTGTTGTTCTTGTTCTTCCTTTTTTTAAATTTAATGAGTATAACAAACTGAGTAGCCAGGAGGAGCTGCATATAAAGTAGCACCATTTTGGAAGGTCTCATGTGCTACTGACTGGGCTAGCTGGGCAACCACTGGCACCACTTTTAAATGCCAACAATAAACTATCTGTGCGGTGCCAACATTTAAATGCATTTCATAACCTAAATGGTGATAAACCTATGGAAAAAATTAAAACATAATGCCCTTGTCTTTTTCTGATTTTAGAATAAGTTTCTTAAATCTTGGCTGTGTGGCCATACTGATGGGTAGAATGGATATTAGTTCAAGAATGAATTTTTTGTTGTTAAAATATGCATAGCATAACATCTACCATTTGAACGATCTTCAAGTATATAGTCAGTGACATTATTGTGCAGCTGTCACCACAGTGCATTTAACCCTCCCCAATGCATTTTTTTCATCTTTAAGATGACTTTAGGAGGCAAGTTTAATTCTACACTTGACACTGGGATTTCTTTTACTTTTGCATACTTTTTATCACATCTGAGAATTTTCTCTGAGCTCAAAAGATCCTCAGTGGAGAAGTCCAATGTGAGGGAGGTTTAGATGACCAAATGTCTCTGGAATATCATGGTTATTTTGTCTCTAAAGTGAAACAGTTAACTGTAGGTGACTTCCAGGTCCAACTTAGGAACACTATCATTTGGAAGGTACCCATGAAATTATTAATTCAGGGCCATCAGGGTGACCATGAGGGTCTTCATGATATTGAACCAAAAGTCTTTTCCACTGCAGATAGTCAAGTGAAAGCCCAGGGCCTTCTAAGGTATGGGAAACCCAGCTGAGATGGTAAAAGCTGGCCTGCAGGAGAGAGGAGCAGCTGGATCAGGGCTAATTTCCCTTGGATTTTACTGCAGATAAATTTTAGATGGAAATGTTTGCTATTATTCTTACTTACTATTTTAGTAAGATCAAAGAAAAATAACTTCAGTTCTGTCCAAGATGGTCTTGGGGAAGAAAAAAAATCTAAAACTTTTCTGAATACTCTGCAAATGTTGAGAATATCACATCAAAGAAGGTAATTTTTTTTTTCTTTTTTGGTATGGAGGAACCACCAAGCTATATGGCTCTAGTATTTTTTTTTTTTTTTTGAGACAGGGTCTCATTAAGTTGCTGAGGGTCTTGCTTAGTTCCCGAGGCTGATCTCAAACTTGTAATCCTTGTACCTCAGCCTCCCAAGTCACTGAGATTGCAGGTATGTGTGACCATGCCCAGTGAAGGTAAATATGTTTTAATTGATAACTAACCCCTCAAAATCTGAATATGTATGAATAAGTAGGTGACTAATTCCAGAATCAGCAATAGTTTTATCTTAAAAAAGTAAGTATCTAACGCTGTATTATTCTGTTTTCAAGATATATTTCATGCTGTTTAACACAATCAGTTATTGTTTAAAAGTATATATATATAATAATGTCTATTTTCATGGATTTAAAATTGTCTATAGGTTTCTTATCACAGTTGAGTATTGCTTATCATAATTAAATATTTAGATATACTTCATAGCCATTCACTTTGGTTTTTAAATTTTTTACTTTAATTGACAAATAATATTCACTTTCCTTCAAATCCTATTTTTAATCACAATTTTTTAAAATAGCTAGACACAAAATTGAGTGAGTTCAGAGGCTGGAGATGTAGCTTGGTGGTATGATGGTTGCCTAGCATGTGTGAGGCCTTGGATTCAATCGCCAGATGCACAAAAAATTTAAAAATTAAGTGAATTTAAGTAGTATAGCAAATTCTATGTTATTTTCCCAAAATAATTGGTTAATTCACTTTTGCTTCACTCTTGTCATACTTCTTTAGGCCAAGAAAATGAAAGCTCATCTGGATTATATTTATGCTTAATTGCACATAGTTTATAAGTGAATGGAAAACCACTTATACACATACTCAGTTACCCCTGGACTAAAGTGTTCTTTAGAGCAGCCAGGAGTGTACCTACTGTCTCTGCACTTGAAGCTCATGAAATATGTTGGCAGACACTTGCTGCTGTGTGGAAATGGTGAGGCTCAGGAGCCAGTATGGATGAGCACAGGACAGGTGGGCAACATGTGGAATGGTAAGGTTATTTTCCTAACTGGTATTGTGGAAAATACCACTCTCTGTTTAAAAAATCAAATTTCTGTGTCTAATCAATCTGTCAATCCTTATAATTAATATCATCAGGTCTTAGGAGGTTTTTAAGTCATTTTGCTGTCACCAGTGAGTGTCACTGACTCATTTGTAATGATTCCTGGGAATTTCGGTAAAGAGAATTTTCTTAAATAAAAAAGTGCTTGCTCTAAATGCTTTCATCTTACTCTAGATGGCTTTAAAGTCCATTTCTGCACAAGTAGTTTGTTTTTTTTTTTTTTAAATAGGAACATGGGGCTGGGGGTGTGGCTCAAGTGGTAATGCGCTCGCCTGGCATGCGCAGGGTGCGGGATTCGATCCTCAGCATCACATAAAAATAAAATAAAGATGTTGTGTTCACCGAAAACTGAAAAATAAATATTAAAAAAATTCTCTCTCTCTCTCTCTCTCTCTCTCTCTCTCTCTCCTATCCCTCTCTCTCTCTCCTTAAAAAAAAATAGGAACATGTTCTAAGAAGCATTGCTGAAGTATAGAAATATTTTTCCCATCGAAACATCTTATTTGTACACCAGGACTATTTTCTTGTTCCTAACTTATGAAACTTCAAAGAGAATATCAAATTGCAGGTGGTGGTTATAAGTGAAGTATCAGATAGTGTCTTATATGTTGCTCACCACGACTTTGAGATGGTGGAATGAGGTACAAGTAAGTGACCCTAGAATGCTTTATGGACAGTGTATGACTCACTCCAAGGCACCTTGCCATATATCAGCAGTTATTAGGATAGACACAGCCTGAGATTCTGGTGGTTCCCTTGTTTTATTGCCACTGTATCCCCGTAAGCAAAATCTGGGAAACAACTTGGGAACTACTCCAGGAACATGTGGCGTCTCAGCTATGTCTGCTGGTGGGCACATACAGGTACTTCTTTCAGGTGCCAGTTTTTCTGTTGGACTGAGAGCTTCTTAGAAGAACCCCAAGAGATGAGGAGAAGCATCCAGTACAAACTGACTTGTGAGGAGGGGGAAGAAAACTACTTGTGTGTTCTGGAAGTTTTAGTATGACATGGTTCCAAGCAGATACATTTATGACTCCCTTATGTAAAAAAGGATCAGAGATGAGGGGATGTTGTTATAAAACATTGGTATCTTCATGGACAAATAGGAAAGACAAATATTTACATCTCTCTTATCACAAACTCCCTTTAGCTATAGTTAAACATACTGGGTAGGTTAAAAGCTCATCACTGGAGTATATTTAATCAGCAAATGGTAAATGAATAAAATTCATTTTCCACTTGGTTTATATTTCACATGGGAATGCTTCTACCAGCTTGTGAGACCATTTACATTGGTAGTTGTATTTTTTGGTTGCCTTGCCCCTCCTCTGTGCGTTCATAAGTGTAAGCACTTTGAAAAGGTACTTGGTACATGGAACTGTACAAGAAGAGGAAACACTCCAGGATTCTCTTTCTAAAACAGGAAGTAAAGTGGCTTTTTTCTTTTGAAAATTGTGATAAGGTAGTGCTTTTTAAACTAAAGGATGAATTTTTTAATTTTACAATTCTTTGCAGACTGGCACTTTATAAATATAATAAAAATGTTGCACTGAGATTGAATTGCTTTAAAAGTTTCTTTACATTCTCAATTTCTATACTTAATCTTGCAGACTGGTAACAAACACTTCATGAGATAACACTGGTCTACAGACCACTCTTAGAAGCATTGAAATATGCATTTTAGGCAATAATCAACAGATTCTGATATTTTTACCTGTGTGAGTGAGATTTTGTCAAGAGTGGAAGGGCAGTGCTGTTTTTGCTGGGGTTATTACTTTTTTGTTCGGTCCTGTGCCAGTTAGGGCATCTTCTCCCAATTTGCATAAAGGTCTATTTGGCAGAAAGTCCTAGGGTCAGGCTTCTGGATAGTCTCATTACAAAGGTGATACTTTTTTGAGAAGATAGCCTTCTCCAGTCCCTCAGAAGAAATCAGCAAGAATCTGTTTGGTTTCACAATTTTCTGCCTAAGGAAAATCATCATCACATTTTATTTCTTTACCAGATTTTAAGCTCCTGTGGGAAGGGACAAGGACCTCACATCGTCATGACTAGAACATGGTGATTAGTGCTCATAGAAATACCAAAGGAATTTTGAATTGAAAGTTGATAATAATAGCCAAGCTCAGTTACTCTTTAAAGAGACAAAGAATCTAATAATTATTTTTCCCTGAAATTTCTTTTTATCAGTCTAGGACTTGAAGAGCAAATTTTTAGATGTAGTCCTGGGAGGAGTTTCCCAAAGCTAATGATACTCGGACATATTCATCAAATTAATGTTGCTTAGAGATTGGCCACCAGAAGTCGATCCAAGTTTTGCTAACACTGAATCCCTAGTGAGGTTAAAATTAACCAATACTATTGAATGCACCCAGAAATAGGTTCTTCAACAAATATGGCTCATGAACGAGTGTGTGTTAGTGGAGTCACAAGTGCCTAAGAATGAGTGGGATCTTAAGTCGTCCTAAGAATACACATGCTGTGTTCCACTGCCTGTGGAAGGGTTCTGCCTACCTGCCTGCTGCCCTTCCTGGGCTTTACATAGCACTATGCAGGTCTGAGTTTGGAAATGTGGTATTCAGCCAGGCTGGCGTAGCAAAACCAGCAGCAAAGGCAAGGTCATGAACAGCCTGAATCAGCCTGAATCCACGGAAGGAACACAAGTCCATACAGATGATTATCAAAATCAGAGGACAGTGGCACACAGCCAAGGTACACATCTGAGATCAGGAAAAGTGAGTGCCCTAGAAGCTTATCACCAGTACTAAGGAAAATCCCTTTTGGTGGCAAGTGTGATAGGAGGGAGTTCTTGAACATTAGGGGACATCAAACATTCTTCTCCACCAGGCTCTATTAACCTGCATACATACATCTGTCCTTCGTTTCCTGACATCCCTGACACTCAGTGAAAGATAAACTGCTTAGTTGGCTTTGCAGTCCTCAAAGATGGTGGCTAAAGAGGAGGCCCAGGCTAAATGTCTGAACTAAGAACTTTGAGCAAATTGATGAAATCCAGTTCTGTATTTTTATTGTGAATGACAAATGTTCCTGAGCTTAAATCTTTGTTTTATGATTAGTAGGAAATATTGCCTGAGCCTACATTAGTACTACCAGAAATGCAAGGAATATGAGCTTCTCACATAGTTTGGGTTCTGCTCAAGCACTTTAGATTGTAAAGGCAGATAAGTGTGTAAGTGAGCTGGACAGGGAGACTCCCACAGGCTGCCAGGGCAGGAATTAGAGCCAGTCTCTGTAAATTGTCTGAAATCTATAATAAAATCAAGAACTAAGGTAACCAGCTTTGTTTCCTCTCACATAGTCCATGAGCTGCCCCAAGATTGCTCTGCTTCACTTTGTACATGTTCTCTCTCTCCCCTCCTCTTGTGTTTTTCTGCGTGCATCCCTACTCCTCACTGCTACCACTGAAAGGAACTGCATCTGAGTTCCTGAGTTCAGATTCCTGAGATTAGAACATGAATGGCTCAGCTTGCCTGTGATCCTTGACCCTTGTGCACATCTGTGTCCAATCATTTGTGGCCAGTGCATGGGAAGGAGGACCCTGCAGTGCAGATTCAAAGTTTCTAGAAAGTGGGTGTGAGGTAATCACACCTCAAATTATATGCAATACCCACTAGGCTTCTTTTTTTTTAAAAAAAATTATTTGTTCTAATTAATTATACATGACAATAGAATGCATTTTGACACAAAATACATAAATTGAGTATAACTTCTCATTCTTCTATTTGTATGTGATGTAGAGTTAGACAAGTCATGTAATCGAATATGCACATAGGGTAATAATGTCCAGTTCATACAAGGATACATATAAATAACCTTTGCTGATGGCAAAAGAATCAGTTCAGTATGGATGTTCAGATCAGGATGTAATTAAAATTTGTAAACATCTAATTAGTATTCTCACTGATATTGATGTTTATCCATTATTTTGAGAGGAACAAAGACAAGTCTGGTGACACTAAAGTCTTAGGGTAGTTTGTCATGCACAAACATTACTTTTGTGAAGTAATTTCAATTGTCAAGGTAGAAGATGGAAAGAAAAAATGTTACAGTTGCCCAGAGTAATTCACTTCCTGGGCAGGTTGTTGTTGATCTAAGTAGCTGAAAAGACACTAACACTGTTTTAAAATGCAGACAATAGCTGTATGTGCTTCACTGCAAGTGTTTTGATGGAAAAGAGATTACAGTTCTCTTTTGTCCTCTTAACCTCATCTAGGCACGTTTTCAGTCACACTTTTAGCCCACAGCTGGATAGCTCTGTTTGCAAAGCATTCTGGCTCCAGTACTTGAACTTCATGTTACAAGTGTTGGATCTGCCATTGTTGGCTTCCTCCTGGTTCCTGACAACTTCCTTAATTTGTTGTTCTCTTCCTTAATTTGTTGTACCATGGGTAGTAAGTTCATACTGGCAGTGAAATATTGGCTCCGTTCTTAAGCATAAGCATGAAGGCCAAATCTGATGATCTGAAATTTCACACACAGAATTCCCAACAGCTCTATCATAGGCTAGTTTTATGTTTCCTCTAATGAGATAGCCCTTCCCCCACTGCCCTAAACCTATTATTATTTCTAAGAAATATTATATTTGTTAAGGCACATCTTGGAGCCAGGGAATAGAGCGGTAATTTCCAGCCCCTTAAAAAAATAAACCTGATGGCTATGCTAGTTGGTTAGAATTGCATTGGTGATTTTATAGACACTGAAGGAAAACCAGTGGGAAATTTTTGGAAGACTTGATTGTACATATCAGAAAAGATATTTTGGAGCTGGGCACAGTGGTGCAGCCTTTAATCCTGGCTACTCTGGAAGTAGAGGCAGGAGGATCTCAGGTTGAAAGCCAGTCTAGGCAACTTAATGAGACACTGTCTTGAAATAAATAGAGCTGGGCTGTGTCTCAGTGATAGAGTGCTTTCCTAGCATGGGCAAGGCTCTGAGCTCAATCCTCAAAACTGCAAAATGGAAAAAAAAAGAAAGAAAGAAAAGAAAAGGTAGTTTAGTATTATAAATGGATATTCTAATGTAGATCCCTTTCTAGATCAACCTGTGATGGAGGCATTAAACTTATATACATTTCAAAGTTTAACTATGAAACTAAGCTAAGCCAAGTGTAGAATTCTGTTTTTTGTCTTGCCTTGTTTTTTAAATGACTAGAGAGAAG